CCCCGCGCAATGACTGGATCAAAACCGCCCCAACAACCGCGGGAGGCAATCCTCCACCAAGCGGGCCCCTCCCGCGTGCAGCCGCAGGCTTTCAGTGAGGGCGGTGCCAAGACAGCGCGCACTTTGTCTTCGCGGCGCTGGGCTCCATGTTTGATTCTGCTCTGCCCATCTTGGCGCAACCCAACGCCTGCCGCAACGTGCACTCCATAGCGCCTCTCCCTCTCTCGGTGGCACGGGTGGTGGCGGTCAGGTCATCGGCGAAGAAAGCAAGTTCAAGGTTGGGGATGCTCGTCAGCTCCTCGCTGAAGCTGTTCACGGCAACGATGAGCGGCAGCGTGCCGAGCGCAGAACCCTGCGGGACGCCACGGGTGAAATGAACCGGTGCGGTGGGCGTATTTTGTACACGCGGCTTTTGGCCGCGCGGCAGGGAAAGGAAGTCCGCCTCTCACCGGCTCAGGCACGGCGCCACCTTGTGCGCGCGGAGTGCGTGAAGGATGCGGCCGCGATGAACCAAGCCGAAGGCCCCAGCGTGGCCCACTAGCACCGCACCGACCTACCCCGCTTGCCGCGGTGAAATGATCCGAGCAAATAGGCGAGCTAACGGATCCAGTGTAGAACGACCAGGGCGAAAACCAGCTTGCTGGGGGGGAAGTTGGGCTTCAAGAGTGCCGCGGATGCGTCGTGCCACAATTCTTTCCACGAGCTTGCGCGAGCAGCTGGCGAGGGCGACGGGCCGAAGCGAGGCGGGAATCATTTGCCCGGCTTCCCAGGCTTGAGGAGTGGGACAATCACAACTCCCACTTCCCGGGAAGCCGGAACGCCACCGTCGCTGTTGCTCCTGTTGAATGTGGCCGCGAGTTCCTTGCAGGCGGCGAGGGGCAGTTGGTGCAGGGCCTCGCAGCGAAGCGCGCCAGGCCCCGGCGCACTCCGGAGACGCATCTCCCGCGATGCAGCGTCGAGCTCCCCAAAGGGAAATCGGACGTGGCGGCGCACACTCGCGCCAAGGTGTCGGCGCGCTCCTTTGTGGCGGTGGGTTGGCCATCCGCCGCCGCAACCGACAACCTGGCAGGGCGCGGGGCGCAGACTGCCCTGGCGAGGCTGCAGCTTGCCGCCTCCCCCGGCACCGGTCGCGAGCACCGCCCCTTCCAGCGAGCAACCGCGACTTTGCGAAGACGCGTTCGTCGCTGCTGTGCGAGGCGGCGAAGCGGCAAGTTCCCGCCCCGCTCACCAAGGCGGTCCTTTTCGGCGTCCGGAGCGGCGGGTGTTTGGCCACCGCATGCGGCACAGTGCGCCTCACCGCTCTGCAGACTACGGCCGCAAACTGCCGAATGCCGCCGTGGATATTTACGGATGAGCGATCCGTCTGCCGAATGAGCGGGGGTTCCCGGCAATCCACCCAGCCGTCGTCCCTGCGTCTCTTGCGGGGCGCTGCTGTTTTCCGGACGGAGACCCGGACGCCATTGATTCATTTCCTGCGGCGGCGGGTGGCGCGCATTTCCCTCGCGTCTGCTCGCGAATACTTCCTAACACAGCGCCCATGCGCAGCCCAATCTGCCCCTTCCCGGCCGCGCCGCCCGCGGGGCCCGCGAAAAACGATGGGGCGATTTGTTGTCTCGCCAACCTGCGCATCGTGCGTGGCCCACGCGTCTTCGCTGTCCGCCGTGAAGCGGGCCGCCCACCCATCGACTCGCACCGAGCCCGGCGGCGTCACGCCCGGGGGCGACGGAAGCGGCAGCTTCACCGGCGGTCTCCTCCACTCGAGCACCGCGGCGCCGCGGCACGCGCGAAAAACCGTTTGCCAAACGCCGATCCACCAAAGTTGCGCCCCCCCAATGCTGCAGGCCGTGCGACCTCCCAGACGGGGCGGGTCCGGAGGAAACAATGCGACCGCGGCCGTCTCGAGTGAACCGCTCTGCCTTGCGGTGGCCGGTGAGGGCGCCGATCCCCGCTAGAAGAAGTGCGGAGGCGGCGAACCAAAATGTCGAAAATGAATTTGAACAAAAGCACCCGCACTCTTTCACAGCAAAATGCGTCTCAAAGAGAACACGCGAACGCAACTTG